CTGCACTGGCAGGTGGATTCTTAACCAATGCGCCACCAGGGAAGTCCCCCTTGTTTCATTCTAAACGGGTGCCCCAATGTGGCTCTCGAGTCAAACTGGGCACGGCCAGTCCTCAGGGTGGACAGCGGACCAGCGTGTTGTGAGCAGAGCGGGGCCATTCATCTTTAATCACGGAGACTGGAGAGGAAGCAGAGGGCAGGATAGGAGGGCCCTGGGGGAGGAAGACAAGCCCTGTCTGGACTCCACGTTCCACAGGCAACCCTGCGGTGACTTCACAGATCTCCCTGACGCTCGTGCGGCAGGAGGGGCTGTGAAACTTGGCCTTTGGCACCACGGCCTTTCTTTCTTCATCTCCTGGCCCATCAATCATGCCTTTTCCAAGGTTCCTGCGTATTCTTCACAGATTCCTGGCTGGTGCTTCCATCTCCAGGCTCCAGAAAGGGGGCGGCTGTCTCCCTTTCCTTTCAGACATAATCTTGTCCTAACCTGGGATTCTTGCAGCTCCTGTCACAGGGGCTGGAGGCTTTCGGACCCGAGGGCTTTGTCCTTCCTCTTGGAATCGCCTTAACCTCAGGTTTACCCGTCTGTCCACCGTGTATGAAACTAACTCCAAGATTAATATAACTCTTTGTTGTTCCTTAGAATCAGCTCCCCAGACGGTGGGCACTGAAAGTGCATCAGGTACAGAGCTCTGTGGAGCTGAAGATTTGGAAGCCATCAGACTGGAGACGAAGGAGAAGCTCTTCATCGATGTGCGTAATTGGTGCATCTGCAGAGAAGTATCTGCGGTACAGCCGGTATCAGATCAGGCACAAAACTTCCAAATCCTCGCTGCCCAGAGTGTGGCCCTTGGGCCAGCAGGCATGGTCTCCCCTGAGGGCTGCTCAGAAGGCGGAACCCCGGGCCCCACCCCAGACCCACTGCTCAGGACCTGCAGTTAATAAGCCCTCCCCCAGGGGCGTCTGTGCCTGTGCCCCTTCAAGACTGAGAAGTGATGGCCCAGGCTGAGTCCCCTTGAACTACATCTACAAAACTCTTGCCGTGTTTTCCCCGAGGAAGCTACACTGAGCGCAGCTCCGTCTGGCGAGCCTCTCCCTCTGTGGACAGCTGCCCGTCTTCCTGGCCTGACTGTCCAGTGGCCCGCCCCCTGGGGCTTGTTCAGTGAGGGGCCGCCTGACCTTGGGACTGATCACAGCCCGGAGCACGGCCCTCCTCCCTGAAGCCCTTCCGCTCTGATAACAGTCTGACATGCTGTGCCCACAGGAATGGGTCTCTGGGGACGTACACACTTTGCCATGACCCCCGGGAACGGTGCTTTGGTGGGGCGAGGGGTGGGGGCCGGCGACCCCCACCTGTAGCCTCACACCCTGCTCGCCCGGAGGACGGCCCGCCTCTCTGCCCACGAGTGAGCTCCTTCTGTTCAAGCCTGTGTGCAGCTTCGCCTGCCCTCGCCCGCTTCTTCTATAAACTCCTACACGGGTGTTTCATTCCCAACCTCACAATTTCACGTGGCTCAGTAAGTGTTCAACTGCGTGCAGCCAATACTCAGAGTGGGTTTCTGGTTTTCTGGGCCTGCATATACATATGACAAAAACAAAAGTGGGCAATTCTTCCCTAACATTTGATAACTGACCGTATACAGGACCCCAACACTAAGCTGGCACTGACCTTCCTCTTTGTCCGGCACTATTTTAAACACATCTTGTTATCGATTGATTTAACCCTTCCAATAACTCTAAGACATAGGTACCACTGTCATCCCCATTTTACAGATGAGGAAATTGAGAAACACAGAGGTTAAGCAACTTGCCCGAGGCTCCACAGCCAGGCAGCGTGGCTCCAGGGCCCACACAGCTAACCACAGCCCGCGCCTGCCTCACACACTGGACGGGGTGCTATAGATGGAGATACCCCGATACACAACACAAAACAGAAACCCCCCCCTAGTCTGGGGGAGGTCGAAAATAGACTCGTTTTATGCCACAGAGTCCTAAGACAAATTTGTGTGTAGGAGGTACGTCTCCCCACAGATGAACGGGGCGAGTAACACCAAAGTGAAGTGGAGAAAGAGGTGGAAATTTCTGAAACATGTCACACCTTGCAAATCTCTTTCACTGATCAGATCCAGGTACCTGGTGTTGCCTCGTGCGTGTGTTTCGAGCGTGCACGAGGCCTGAGTGGTCTGGGTCACTCCGCGGGCCCCTCCACACTCCGAGCACGTAGCGCAGGCTTGGTTGGCTCTGTGGCCGCGTCTGTCCCGTGGACTGGGCGTTGGGAGCGTGCCCTCCTGCTGACGGGGATCGTTTTCTCTTCCAGGACCTGCCTGACTTGGAAGACGTGGATGCAGGCGGATCTCCGGGAGACCAGCACAAGGTGACCTCTCACACATCCCCCCAGCCCCACCTTCCCTTCCAGCCCTGTCACTGACCAAGTGTCTCGGAAAGCTGCATGCCCTTTGTGCTTGAAGCCTCCCTCCTCACCTCACCTAAGGAAATGCGGCTGTTTACTGCTGCTCCCCTCTCTGAGGTTTCACAACTACCCACTTCGGTTTTTTTGAACAGATCTTTTATCACTGATTTTTAATAATCATGTTCTGTATGTAATTACCTGAACATTTTTTCTATCCTTTTGATGTATCCGTATGTTCATCTAGTGAATGTCTGTACCACAGCAACACATGGGCAGGGGAAGGGAGGCAGGAGAGCATAGAAAGCCCTATGGAGACCTCTCCCAAGGTGACCCGACCCTCCTCCCTCTGGCGGTACTGAGAGCCAGTGTGGGCCAGCCCCGGGAGCCCCAAGGAGAGGGAAGCCTAAGGTGTAATCTCAGGGCAGGAGCTCGTCATCGAAGGAGGGACACAGGGGACCACAGTTCCGTGGGGGCCTGACCTCCAAAGCACGACTAGGTGGCCAGGTGAAGGTGGAGCCCGTCAGAAGCCAAGGCTCACAGATGAACAATTCAGGGACCCAGGAGGGTGTTGGTGCAGCAGGAACAGAGTGGGCGAGGGCCGTGCCACACGGAGACCTGACGAGGACCCGAGGGAGTGGAGACCTGGCTGCAGAGCTCACCATGGCCTCCAGGGCTCACAGACGGCTGCCAAGGAGTGTCCATCCTGAGGCCCGACTTTCAAGCAGCGAGTGCTGTGCTCCCTCGGGCCCACAGTGTGATAGATTAAAAAAGCCGAATTAGCATTGTGCATTTTAGAGACTATTGTGAAAACAGAAATGTTCAAATACATTTTTTCTTTTAACAGAAGATGTGCTTTCCAAAGATTACAGCCATCTCGAGCCTGAGTGACGACAATGACCCTGAACTAGACTACACCTCACTCCCAGTGCTGGAAAACGCATCCACAGACCCCCTTTCCAGTATATTTGCAGTCTCCAAGGACACCTCCAGGAAGGCCGAGACGGAGACGCCCTTTACAGGCATATTCAAAGCAGTAGCAGAGAGGGACTTGGCAACCCACAGGAGAGACACCAAGGCCCCTCGCCCACTGATTCAGGAGCTGGACGATGACGAGCCTTCAGGGCAACCACCCTGGCCCCCAGCCTGCAAAAGGGAAGCCGCGCCAGCCCCGTGCAGTGAGGACAGGCATGGGGACCTGCTTCTGGCCTCCCCTCCAGGTACTGTCACCCAACTTTCAAGGCTACAGGGGCCAAAAGCTTCTCAGGGGGAAATGGACTGTGGACCACCCAAACCCAGAGCGGGTGGCCACCTGGGCCTTTGCCCTAGGAATCCCATGTTCTCAGAGCGGGTCACTCACGACCTCTCCAGAGACCACGGAGATCGCTAGAGCATGTTCCTAAGTCGCCGGCCGGGGCCAAGGAGCTGCCAGACTGACCCCCTCCCCGACCTTCCCCATCCTTGGCCCTTCCAGACCAAGGCTGCTGAGGGAAGGAGGGGACCGGTGATACCGCAGCTGGGAATATGGGACAAAATGAGGGTGACAGCTGGCCGGAGGGTGTGGGTCGTCCAAGTGAAGGCCCAGGACCGGGATGAATGACTGTGAGATGCTGCTGGCCGGGAAGCAGGCAGGGACGGCGCCCACAGTGCCCGGCTGGGTGGGACCGGCAAAGCCACACCCTGATGTGCCCGCCGGCCTGGCGCTGGGGCCTGTGCCCATGACCAGGGAGAGGCACTTTGGGGGAAGCTGGCTAGTGCTTGCTGGTCACAAGCGCACCGGGGGTAGCTCTGTGTTCAGCTTTGTACCTCCGGGTATCCAACTCGGGGAGCCTGTTGAACACAGACGACTCCCGCTGTAATCCACACTGGATGGCAGCCAGGCTTCTTGCTGAACACCAGCTCGCGTGGCCACCCCGAGGCCTGCACGCGGGAAGGGGTGAGGGCTGGCCGCACTTCCCAAGGATACCGACTTACCCATTTCCTGGCTCTTTAGGAAACAGCCCCGAAAAGGGTGAAGCCCAGTCTGAGGTGGAGCCTGAGGAGCGCCCGGAGCCCAGGGCCAGAGAAGACTGGGACTGAGCCACAAAGGCAGCCCCTCTGCTCTTGGACTAACAGGGACAGGCCCTGGCCTGACCCCCCAGCAGGGGCAGGTCACCCCCTTGGCTGGGCTCCCCTTCCCTTCAAAGAGTTGCAGTTACTGCGGGCGTGCAGGGCCCTGGACATGGATGGCACTGTGCTCCCTGCTCTCAAAGCCTAACACAACCCCCGGTTCTTTGCAGTATAAACCATGTAACTGTAAATGTCTCCCTTGAGCACTGTAAACATTTTAGCACCCACGCAAGTCCCTATGTTATTGGATTATTTCATGTCCAGTGAGTCACACGTGATTCACTTCATCAGGTACCCGAGACAAGAACCATTCCTCTCTTCACATGTGATCAGAAACCTAGGTCCCGCCCCAGGGCCCTGTGTCATTCCCAGGGGGTGTGTCCCCTGCAAGACTCTTCACCGGAGCCACAGAGCTGCGAAGGAAGCGAACCTGACGCACTGAATGTCGAAAGCCAAGTAAGGGGACACAGCCCGGCCTGAGAAACTTGATCGTTCAAAACCAGGCTCAGCTGACAAGTTTATTCAACCCCTAAACGTGGGTCCAAAGTGCCTCCCTCTATAAAACGTTAGATGGTGCTAGAAACCGCTTCACACACACACACGTAACCACAAGCAGCTAGCTGCCAACACCCAGCAGCGGAGCACCGGCAGGCTGGGCAGCTCACTTCACCATCACCCGCCACGTCCCCAGGGGCCCGTGCGTGGCGGAGCCCTCGGCCGCCTGGAGCCCCTGCTTTCCAGCACAACACTGTCGGCTGGAGGGGATCCCGGCGACACTGACCTTCAGGACGGGGCTCCCATGACTTCTCAACGTGCCCCTGGGAGCACGAGCTGCAGGAGAAACGACTACCTTGTTGTCCTTCTTCCTCCAACGTGGATTCAAATCGCTTCTGAATGTCTCCCGCAGTCACGAAGGCCTTCGGAAAGCAGGAAGGTCTGCACCCTGGCGACTGTTCTCTTTGTTTCCCATTTCAACCACAAAAGGCACAGCTTATCCAGGACAAAGGGCTCCCTGGAGGTGGGGGGCAGCCTCCCCGGGCCTCAGAAGCCCATGCGGGGCTTCTTGCAGTGTGGCTGCGAGCCGGAGCGGACGGCTGCCCGCTGCCGGGAGGGGGTGGCCCGGACACTGGAGGTCTGGGAGGAAGGCACAGAGGCACCCCCTGGGGCGTCCCCCTGGAGCGGCAGCTCAGCCATGTAGTCCCGGAGGGTCTGCTGCCGCTCCGAGGGGACGGCCCGGGCCCACAGCTCCTGGGTGGACTCCTGGGAGGGCGGGGTCACTGGAGGCTGAGGCCTGGCCGCAGGGAGTGTCCGCTCTGGGCTGGGAGGGGGGCTGGCGGCGTCTGAGAGGTCTAAGCGGCCGCTGAGCGAGGAGAAGGTGTTGGACAGCTGAGTCCGGCGCTTGTGCCGCTTGGGCTGTTTGCCGGGCCCCAGGCTGCTGCCCCGCCGCCTCTCCCACCAGGCCGCCGCCTGGCCCTCCCAGGCTGCCTCCAAACGCTCGCTGAGCTCGTCCTCGGGGCCTGGCTCGGGGGCTGGGGCCCGCTCTTCCGTGGGGAGCAAGCCCAGGTCCCTCAGCTGCAGGAGACGCCCTTTGGCCATGGCCGTGCGGAGACCTTCTGGCGCTTTGCTCTCTGCCTTCTGAGGCTCAAAGCAGCCCAGCAGGCGGCGGTGGGAGAAGGTGGGTGCAGCCCACACGGGGGGAGCCGGGGGCACCTCCAGCAGGGCCTTCAGCCACCGGCTGCAGGAGGCAGTGGCCTGGGGGGTCCAGGAAGCCGTGGGGGCAGGAGAGTCAGGCCCGGGGTCTGCCTGGAGGTGGAGGCCCTGGTGGAAGACGTCTCCAGCCGCCGAAAGTTGGAAGAGCGACAGCACCGGTGTGTTAGCGGAGGGTGGGATGGCGGCGGCCAGACCTGGAGGTGGAAGGACCGTGACCCTACGGCCTGGTGCGGGTGCGGCTCCTCAAACCCACTCCCCTGCCCCAGCGCACCTATGGCTGGTGCTGTCAGACGTTCCTGCAGCCGCCACTGACTCTTGGGCTCCAGTGGGGCGAAGGCAGAGAGGGAGTCACTCCTGGAAGGGAGAGACTGGGGGGGCCCTGCCAGCCGGGGTGTGGAGGCCCCCTCTCCTGGAGGAGAGACAGACAGCTGAGGCCCTGCCCAGGCCCGGCCCCGCCCGCCCTCCTGCCTGCCCCCCGCCTGCGCCGCCCCTCACCTGCGATGTGCAGCAGCTGCAGCTCCCCACCCTGGCCTGCCAGGAGCAGCGGCCGCGGGAGGCCTGTGCGGGGCGGGGGCAGCAGCCGGGCCAGCAGGGGCGCAGAGGGGAGGTCGTGGTTCCACTTCAGCAGGGGCACCAAGGGGAGGCGCTCATCCACCAGGTAGAGCGAGAACTGGAGGCCCAGGAAGAAGACAGAGGGGACGTGACTGAGGAGTGGGAGAGAGGGACGGGACAGGTCCCCCCGGGTGGCCCCCTCCGGGGCCCCATGTGGCTCTCAGGCTAAGTCTCGGCACTCCAGGACCGGCCCTGACCACCTCTGCAGCGTCAGCTGCCCAGCCCCGCACAGGAGGCACCCCCGAGCAGGTGGCACCGTCCCCTGTCCTGATGGCCTTGCTGGGAGAAGGGCTCTCGAGAGAGGCTTTCACCCAGCCTCCCCCAACCTCACCTGACCCTGGCACATACGCCTGAGACACACCCACTAACACCCAGGGTCCTGAGGGGACGGGGTGGAGCCAGACCTCCTCTTCCCTTCCGGACACGGCGGGACTGTCCAGCTCTGGCCATTGCCCCCATGCCCACGCCCTTCCCCCTTCCCCAGCAGCTGTCCAGGACCGTCTCCAGTGACCGCCTGCGATAGTGCAGGACGGAGAGAAGGGGAAGGTGTCGCTCACCTGGGTGCAGATGAGGTGGAGCGTGGGGTGCAGACACTCGGGGCCGCACTCCCCCAGGTACTGGGTGAGCAGGACCCGTTCCCCTTTCTGGCATGACGCTTCTGCCCCTCCACGAAAAAGCAGCAGACCACAGCCCTGCGGGCCCTGGGGGACACGGCCAGGTCAGCCAGCCCACGGTCCGCCATCTGTGGTGCCACCTGCTGCAGCTGGCCCGGGGCTCGCTGGCCCTGCAGCTCATCACGACCTCTCGGGGGAAGGCCCCCCCCCCACCAAGGACCTGCTCTGTCCCCTCACCTGAGTGTCCACCATCTTCACTCCGGTGCGATCACCCACAGTCAGCACTCGAGGGTGGGCGGTGAAGTCTGCCCAACGCCAGGGAGAGGGGTCCCGGAACACAAGGGTCTCGGGGTCCTTGTAGATTTGCTGCAGCCTTGGGGAGACAGGCCAGCCATGGTGGGGAGACAGGCCAGCCATGGTGGGGAGACCGGCTGATGGGGGGAGGCTGGGGTGACCTGGCCTGGTGTCCAGGACATGGGCCGGGTTCTGCGGGAGCCGTTGGTTGGGGTGGAGGGTTTTTATGGGGAAGGGGCGTTACCCGTCCTGGGGAGTCCACAGACAGATGGCTCCGGAACGGCTGCAGATGGCCAGCTCTCCAGGCAGGTGAGGGCTACAGGGCACACACGTGATGAATGCTGGGACACCCCCTTCTCCCACGCCCATCTCCACGGAGACCAGCCTCAGTGAGCCCCTCACCTGAGGCTGATCCCTGTGGCCCCCTTCTCGACCTGCAACACCTGGAGAGGGGCCGGCTGCCCCTGCTTACTGACCTTCCACAGGGCACAGTGGTAGTCAGAGCGGACAGCCAGCAGAGCTGAGGGATGGAGAGGGTCAGGGTCAGGGTCAGAGTCAGGCAACAGGTCAGTGAGTGGACAGGGGAGGTGTCTATGGGCCTTACCTTCTCCCTGCACAGTACGGGTCACCACCTGCCGGACAGGTCCCCGGAGCCGGATATGGCCAGGGCCTCCGAGAACCCGGGGTTCACTGCCTGGGGTCAGGTTGACCTTCTGGAAGTCTGGGCATCTCGCTAAGGATAAGTTCATGCGTCATGGCCACTCAAGGCTCCCAACTTCCCACCTGTCCCTAGAGCATGCCCAGCGAGGGAGGATACACAGCCTGTCCAGGGCGCCTCCTGCAGGATAGACCAGCTGCCCAGACCCGGGCGTCCTGCCGGGCACCCAGGCCAGCGCGCCCCCAGTGAAGGCGTCGTCCAGGAGCAGCTGCTCCCACCGCAGGGCCAGCTCCTCATGCAGCAGCTCCCCCAGGAGGCTCGCCACCGACGTGCTGAGGATCGGGCCCCCAAGGATGGAGAACCGGCGCTGGCGGTGGCTGAGGTAAGCCCAGGGACAGCTGGGGGCGAGAGGAGGAGGGTCAGGCTGTGGGTGATGGGGAAGAGGGCGGGGTACCTCCCGAGGGAGGCCAGGTGTAGCAGACGCATTCTCGGTCACCCTAGAACTTCTTCCTCTGGGAAACCAGCCCACCCGATTCCTGTGCCGCAGTCACATGATCCAGGCCCGGCCACAGGGATCGGCTCACGGCGGGCATGACACCCAAGCCAAGGCAAGCCGACCACACCGTTCCCGGGACTTCTGCTGGTGCCTCAGGAAGGACACTAGCCCTTTCCCTGGAATCATAAACCATCCTGCTGCCACTTGCAAACAGTCTGTCTAGGAATTAAGCCAAGCAGAGGCAAGAGGATGAGAAAATAAAGAGGTAGAGCCCTATTAACATCTGAACACCTGGATGCAGCCATGCCTGTAGTGCATGAACTTCCATTCTTTTTTCCCTTACGTGGCTAGTGCAGCTGGGAGTTCTGTATGGGGCAGCGTGGCTCATGACTGCACGGGGGGTGTGGAAGCAATTTGATGGAAACCAGCATCCAGGCCCTGGTTCCCTCCATAGCCCCACCACCAGCTAGGCACACCCATCCCATCCTTTCTCACTAGCCACTTGCCCCCAGGGCTGGTGTCCACCGAGGTCCTGGAGTAGCCTCTTCACGCTGACCACTGTCTTCTTCTTAGAGCGGCTCTGTGTGGAAAGGCCTCGTCAAGCACACATGCCCTAGGGCTTACCCCGACGGGAAGTGGGGAGCCCCCTCTCCTGGCTGGCCAGGGGTTACTCACCCGTGCTCCCTCCAGTTTGAAATTCTCCAGCATCAGCTTCCCCAGGGGTGCAAAGGCTATGTCCCCATGGTCCCACAAGAACCGGCTGAGCTGCAGGAGGAAAGGAGGCCAGGTCACTAGGCACAGCCCCGGCTGCGTGGCACTGTCCACCGTGGGGCCGCTTACCTGCTCACTAACGTCCAGCACGGCTTGGGGCTGTCTACGGAACTGGTAACCTCCCCGGAAAAGCAGATCCTGGGCAGTCACACCGGGGTCCCAGGGATCTGAGGGGAGAGTAAGGCTGCGGAAGGGCCCGGAAATGGAACCGGGTGCCCAAGGTGCCTGGAGGTGCCAAGGGCCCTGTAGGGCAGAATTAGCAGGGAGAGGAAAGGCCTCGCGCGGGAGCTGGGGGAGAGGGGCAGCGGGGAGCAGCTTGGGAGGGGGCCCCAAGGCCGAGATCCTTACCGGGACCAGGAGGCAGCAAGGGCAGCGGCCCAGGGGTGTCCGGCTCCCAGAGCAGGCCCTTGGCCACGTGCGGCGCCGTGTTCTGAGGAAACACAACCGTGGCCACAACAGAACAGTGAGTGTGCGCCGGGCCAGGCGCCGTCACCCACTCTTGTCTTTTATTAACTCATTTAATCCTCCCAAGGCACCGGCCAAACTGGTACTCCCCTGCATCGGCAGGCGGACTCTCAACCACTGCGCCACCAGGAAAGCCCCATCGTCACTTTAATGATGAAGAAAATGGAGGCACAGCGAGGCCGTCCCTTGTCCCAGGCAGCAGCCACTAAAGAGAAGGCCTGGGATTTGAACCCAGGCAGTCTGACTTCAGTCTGTGCTCTCGACCTCCAGGCTGCACAGGCTCTCGCAGGCACCCCTGGCCTTTGAGTCTCACTTACACTCAGGAGACCTTGTGGTCACTTACTTGGGACGCCCACAGGCTGCTCCATCCCACTGCGGGGCTGGCCTGAGACAGCTCAGCTCCACACCTGGGGACGGAAGAGCAGCAGGCAGGCGAGCAAGGCTCCCGCAGGGGCAGATCTGACATAAGCCCTTCCTTGTCAAGGGAGCCCCTCCTGCCCAATGCCAGCGTCTCTTAAATTCCTCGCCCACTTGCCTCTACCGGGCGTAATCCTTAACCAGCCTGTCTCCAAGTGGCAGCCAGATGGCTTAGGCGTCCGGGGAAAGAGCTGGCGTCCTTCGTGTCCCAGATCTCCCCTCCCCTCCCCACCTCACCCCTACTGTACGGTTTCGGCATCCTTCTGGTTTCGCTCAGAGCTGTTCTCACTTTGTAATGATTTTATCCTTTGGTCTATTCACTTGTCTATTCTCACTCAACCTAACTCTGTTCCACGGGGCTGGGAGCGCATCTGACTTACTCACTCCGGATTCCCAGGGCCTGCTAAGGCACCTGGCACATAGTAGGGGCTGTTCAGTGAGTATCTGTTGAACAAATAGAGAAAGAAAAGATGGGGGCCAACAGCTCCCGCTCAGTAAACCCTCTGCGGATGGCAGGGCATCCCAGGTCCCCAAAGGAGGGGATTCTGGCTCAGCCTGTGTCTTAGCAGATTTGTGCCAATGCCACCCGACTCTGTACTCCTGCCAACTGGTGTGAATGCTAGGATAGGGGGGCCAAGGGACGGCACCCACCCTGCAGCCACCAAGGCTCTCCCTGCCAACCTCACCTCAGAACCTTGGGGCAGGGACTCCGGCAGGGTCAGCGCATCTCTCCAGCTGCACATGAAGGACACGTCAGGGACATCGCTCAGACCGAGGGGGCCAGTCGTAAACAACGAGGGCGGGAGGGAGCTGGGGAAGTCCATCCTGGAAAACAGGAACCACCCTGGCCTTCCTCAGAGACCTGAACCTGACAGCCACTTCCGGGGTTCCTGGAGGGCGAAGAGCACCCTAAGAGGAGTACAATTTCTCTGGGGAAGCAGATAACAAAGAACAAATGACTATGTCGCCTAACGCCTGATAGTAATAAGTGCTACGTTAAAACCAACCAACCAGCCAGGAGGGAGGGGATGGCGGCGGCCGAGGGGTGTGGTCTTAGCATCGTAAGAAGGTGGCGCTCGGCATACCCTGAGCTAATGACAAGGCCGCTGGGAAGAGGGTACAGCAAGTGCAGAAGTTCTGGGGCAGGAAGCGTGTGAGAAACAACTGGGCAGCCATGGACCGAACTAGGAGGTGAGCGACAGGCCGAAGTCAGACAGGTGGCGAGGGGTCCACTTCTAGCATGCTCTTATGTATTAATTATAATTACACGTTCACAGACTACACACCCCACTGAATGAATGTGTGTTTCTTAGGGCATGTGTCAGCCTCATTCTAATTGTGGTTTATAGGTACAGCCTTATTTCTTCTTCGAGACTGCTCTCCAGGGGCAGGAACTGTATCTGATTCATTTCTGAGTTCCTGGCATCTGGCTGTTGCGGCCATTCTCTTCCACAGCAGGAGAGGACAGTGGCGGGAATGCGTCTTTTCACTGCAGGACCCTTCCACACTATCTCTCCGCTTCAAAGGAACACCATTGCCCTTCCTACCCACCTACAAAATCCTCCTCATCCTTCAGATTTTCAGTCAGGAAGCCTCTCCCAGTTCTCCCAATACTATCCCACAACACCCTGCATCCCTTCTCCAGAGCACGCATTGCAATGTGGGATTAGATATTTAAAGGTAAAGCCGTTTAACTCCAAACTGCTCCAAGAATCCCCATGGGGAAGAGCCTTTATCCCCAGTGCCTTGGTACTTACTACATGGCAACAATCAGTACATAAAAACTGAAGGAACAGGGCTTCCCTGGTGGCGCAGTGGTTAAGGGTCCGCCTGCCAATGCAGGGGACACACATTCGAGCCCTGGTCCGGGAAGATCCCACATGCCATGGAGCAGCTAAGCCCGTGGGCCACAACTACTGAGCCCGTGCTCTAGAGCCCGTGAGCCACAACTACTGAAGCCCGTGCACCACAAGTACTGAAACCCGCACGCCTAGAGCCCGTACTCCGCAACAGAGAAGCCACCGCAATGAGAAGCCCACGCACTGCAACGAAGAGCAGCCCCCGCTCGCCACAACTAGAGAAAAACCCATGCACAGCAACGAAGACCCAACGCAGCCAAAAATTAAATAAATTTAAAATGAAAAAATTTAAATTAAAATTTAAATAAATAAATTTTAAAAAAAATTTTTAAACAAATGCTACTCATTGTTCTTTTTTTTTAATTTTATTTATTTTATTTATTTATTTTTGGCTGCATTGGGTCTTCGTTGCTGCGTGCGGGCTTTCTCTAGTTGTGGCGAGTGGGGGCTACTCTTCGTGGCGGTGCGCGGGCTTCTCATTGCAGTGGCTTCTCTTGTTGCAGAGCACGGGCTCTAGGCACGCGGGCTTCAGTAGTTGTGGCTCGCGGGCTCTAGAGCGCAGGCTCAGTAGTTGTGGAGCACTGACTTACTTGTTCCACGGCACGTGGGATCTTCCCGGACCAGGACTTGAACCTGTGTCCCGTGCATTGGCAGGCGGATTCTTAACCACTGCGCCACCAGGGAAGCCCTAAAACTTTTTTTAAAAAACAAAAAAAACCAAAAACTGAAGGAACAAATCCAGGGATGAATGAAGGAGAGGAAAAAGGAACCAAACAGCCTCAAACAAACGCAGGCAGGCTGAAGGCGCTGGTGGAGCCCACGGCCTCAGAGAAGCCCCGAGACAAGAGAGCCTCGACTTCCCGCCCTCGCCCTGGGCTCTCTCGGCCCGTTTAGACCGCCAAGGCAGCAGAGTCAGTCGGGTCTGCATTCATGCCAGGCCAGGCACGACAAAAAGTGCGCCTGCAATGGGATGGGAGAGGGGATCCGGGCGGCTCTTCCCCTCAGACATCTACTCGCCCACTCCCTCCCTATCCACCTCTTCCCACTCCACCTCCAGGCCCCAGAATTTCTACCCAACAACAACAGAGGTCTCGCATCAAGCGCCGTGCGCCAGACAGCTGTTGCTACCACGCTTTACATCGGTGGGATGTTCCCCACTCCATGAGCCAGCGGCTGCTAATACCCCACTTTGTAAACCCTGGGCGACTTGTCCCAAAGCCACAAAGCTTGGCGCCCGTGGACTTGAGCAGAGCGACCTGCCTCTCCGTCCCGTCCGGGCGGCGCGCGTACTTACGTGGCCCCGGCCGTTCCGTGCTCGTCTGGGAAACGAACCTCCGCGTGACGCTCGCCTGACCCTCGAGCCACGAGGGAGCCCGAGAGCGCAACCCTCGCTCCGGCGCCCTCAACAGGACCGCCCCACAACGGCGTTTCCCCGTCGCTTGAGCTGGGCCGGAAGTGCTCCCTGAAAGGCAGGAAGTCCCGCCTCCCAGCCTGGCCTCACGGGCGCTCCAGAGCGCCACCTCCCGGGCGGAGGGGGAATGCGAGTGCAGGCGGCGCTGTGGGCCGTAGAAATCAAACGCCTTCAAATCCCAATAGTGAAGTCCAGGTTGACGGGCGTGCGAACCTCACCTCTGCTTAACTAACTTCCTACTTTACAGAACTGTTGCATTAATTCACTCAACAAACACTGAGCACCTACTATAAGCCAGGCACTTTATTAGTCAGTAGGAATCCTACTGACTGTCTTTATATCCTGTGAAGCAGGCTTTCCAAATAGGAGTACAGGTACTGCTGGGAATGCATGAGGCTTTCCCAGTAGTCAGGCAAATACAGCTTTAGGCACTGGTTCCCAGATTCTAGCATGCATCAGCATCAACTGCAGGGTGTGTTAAAATAGAGTTTCTGGGCTTCCCTGGTGGCGCAGTGGTTGAGAGTCCGCCTGACGATGCAGGAGACACGGGTTCGTGCCCCGGTCCGAGAAGATCTCCCTATGCCGCGGAGCGGCTGGGCCCGTGAGCCATGGCCGCTGAGCCGGCGCGTCCGGAGCCTGTGCTCCGCAACGGGAGAGGCCGCAACAGTGAGAGGCCCGCTTACCGCAAAAAACAAACAAACAATCAACAGAGTTTCTGATTCAGTGAGCCCGGGGTGGGGCCTGATAATTTGTATTCCTGAGTTCCCAGGTGACGCTGATGCTGCTTGTCTGGGGGCCAAGCTTTAAGAGCTACTGTGCGATCATAAATATTACCCTTATCCAGCCCAGTAGTTTTCAGACCTGAGCATGCATCAAAATCCCCTGGAGGGCTTGTTATAACCATTTGCTGAGCCACACCCTCAGCGTTTTCTGGTTCAGTAGGTCTGGGATGTGATCCAGAAATTTGCATTTCTTTTCTTTTTTATTCAACTTTTTTTTCATTTAAATGAATTCCTCTTAGAATTTAGTCCCAGAAAAAAACTTTCTCCTTACAAACTTTATGCTACTTCTTTTTTATTTTTAAGAATTCCACATATTACTTATTTTAAATTTAATTCCATTTTTTTTTTAATTGGAGTAAAATTGCTTTACAATGTTGTGTTAGTTTCTTCTGTACAATGAAGTGAATCAGCTGTATGTGTACCTATATCCTCTCCCTCTTGGACCTCCCTCCCACCCCCACCCCCACCCCACCCATCTAAGTCGTCACAGAGCACCGACCTGCACTCCCTGTGCTATACAGCAGGTTCCCACGAGCTATCTATTTTACACATGGTAGTGTATTTATGTCAAACCTAATCTCCCAATTCGTCCCACCCTCCCCTTCCCCCCCAAAATTTGCATTTGTAATGAGTTTCCAGTGATGCTGATGCTGCTGGTCCGGGCACTACACTTTGAGAACCATTACTTTCAAGAGTCAATTTCCAAATTCTTGGTTTCCATCTATACAGATTTTATCTGGGAGGTGCTTGGCTTCGGAAGCTTCGAGCTTTTTTCTCCTCTGTGGAGTGTTGCCTGAGATGAGTGCACAACAAGGGGGCTATTCCAAAAAGCAGAGTCCCTGCAGGAGAAAGTTCACATGAGACTAAGAAAAGCAGGCTCAGTAAGAAGTAGTGATGGAAGGGTTCAGGAGAGGTTCTGTTTATATATTATATTTTTTCAATTCTTTATTATTTTTATTATTGTTATTATTATTTTTGGCTGCAGCATGCAGGATCTCAGTTCCCCAACCAGGGATTGAACCCATGACCCCTGTAGTGGAAGCAGAGTCTTCACAACTGGACCGCCGGGGAAGTCCCAGGGGCTCACAGTGTTATGTTCGTTCATCTGAGTCCTGGTTACATGGCTCTGTGCCATGTGTGAAAATTCATTGAATGATCCGTGCACTTTTCTGCGCGTACTTCAGTAAAGAATCTTTTTTAAAAAGAAAAGGAAAAAGGAAGAAAACTGCTGGCTGTGACACTTGATATTACTGAGACTTCAACCTCTAGGTCAGCCTTCTCAGCTACCTTAGAAATAGAATCCAGAAGTCCCTCTACGAGGGCAGGGATTCTTCTGTCTGTGTTGGTCCCTGACATATCCCAAACAGCTAGAAGATGCTTCATGCATATTTGAATCAACGGAAGAGGGCATGAATGAGATGGCTCTTCTGAGAAAGTATCAACACATTTACTTCAATTGAAAAAGCTAAGTCAGACTATTTCTGATGAGAAGTAATTCCATTTTAGCTGAGTGATTTGTCTATGAGAGTAAGCTTTGACGATTAAATCATTTGAAGGGTGTTTTTCCTAAATGGAATAAGCTAAGTCTCCACCTCCGTGGTTTTGGTGAAAACATATTGGAAAGATAATTACAATATATAATAAACTAGAAATTGCACCTTTCGTAACTCCGTGTGACTAAATAATTGGGGGATACATAGTCTTTCAAAACTATTTTAGGGGTATGTATGCCAAAAATATTGAAGGCCTTTT